GGAGGGGGAGGTAAAGAGGTAAGAGGTATTATAGGCTGTTTATGAGAATGGATGGAATGGATGGAATGGATGGAGAAAGTGGGGGCCGTTCTGCACGGTTTACATATCTTGTTATCTTGAATCTTTCTTGGTCGTTCAGTCGCTTTATTTCTTTATTATTTTAATTAGTATAAGCTATACATGTTATATTACGTAACCAGGATTGTGTGGTACATGACGAAGGCTCATGCTTGTTGACATCACAGTCCTTTTGTGATCGCTACAACTTATCGAGAAAAGTCGAAAATAACCTTAACGAACTATTTTTACGACTTACCCTAGGGTATTTAGCGGAAAAACCATAGCCTTTATCCATATCTTCTTTACTCAAAGTCTTCATCTTTGTTGCATATAATAGTTGATCAAAACAAGGCTCACTGGCTGTGATACCCGACCACTTCACGAAGATCACATGAGTAACACAGGTAACCCAACACATCCTTGCGAAGTCAAGACTCCAATTAGGGGACAGAGGGCAAGGGGCAAGGGGCAAGAGAGGGGGAGGAGGGGGGGATACTTCTTTACCACGCAGAGAGAAGAGAAAAACCACTTAAAAATCGTTTTTCTGGATTATAACATGGATCCATTTGATAAGATTTTTAGGAATTTTGAATTTTTTAATAAACTTGCATCTCTTAGAAAATCAATATCAATATGACTAAGGCTTACGAAAAGTGTAAAAATTAACAACAGTATGGCCTTGTAATAGTGAAATAATCCATAAACCTATGTAGCAGTGCAGAGGGTGGCAAGAGGGTACTGTGGCAAGAAGGTAAGGAAGAGATCTTTCTTCTCTCTTTGTTCACCAGACCAGTTGCAGATCCAGAATTTTAAAAAGTAGAGTTACAAAATGGCTGCCATGCAGAGAAAGCAAGTAAGTTTTTCTTCACAAAAGGGTGGTTCCAAATTCATTGACCATAAAGAACATGATTGACTTCACAAGATCTCACAGAAGGGGGATCTATGGAACCACCCCCTGGCTCCCAGCACCCTTTAGCTGCTACATAGGCTGGATATTTATTGGCTTGGCTGCTGAGACAGAAATCTTTTGTTTAATGTTTGGCAAATTCATTGTAAAAAGACTCATTGTAAAGCACAGGAAAAAAAACTGGATTCCCAAATTGGGAATTAGTTGGGAATTTCCCTGAATTCCCAACGAATTCCCATCCAATTCCCAGAGAGAATGAAATTGGGAATGTGGCACTGATTCCCAATGTTAGTTCGTTGGCAATTTTGTTTTTCTATTGGGTATTAGAAGGAAATTCCCAACAATAAATCTCAATGTTGGTGTTCGAATTGGGAATTCAAGGAAATTCCCAACAATTCCCAATTTGGGAATCCAGTTTTTTTTCCTGTAAAGTAAGTGCCTTTTATGATATCTATATGGAATAGGGCACTTTACAATCTACACATGGTGTTGTCATTAAATTGTAAACAACAATAAGCTGAGATGGCTGACTTGCTGTTAAAACCATTTAATAATAAAAAATGCAAGGAATGTATATAAATAAATATTTATATTGTGAAAAAATATACACAGAATGAAATTTTAAATGCCAACAGTTTACAATAAAATCATGTTTGATGATTGTTCATTAAGGGTTGCGGGTTCGAGTGTTTCTCTTAGCATTTATAATGCCTTGGACTTGAGAATAATGTTTCTGTCGATAGGATGAATTCCTGCTTCTGCAAATCCAGTCTTTATTATCGCCGCATCAACAGATGAATTCCAGGCCGCTTTGAAGCAACGAGCAAAGTTATTGAAGTTAACTCCCTTCACAAATATTCTTTTAAACAAAGATGAAGTGAAAGTAAAGCCTTCCTTTAGTGCTGGCAAAACTGTCCTGTTCAGTGGCTGTGTGATGTGAGCAGATAATGGTGGCAGACCAAGAAGGATGATTTCATTCTTCTGGGCAAGTTGGATGAATTCTGGTGTAATAAAAGCTGTGTCTGGATCAAAAAGCAAAATCAAAGGTCGACTTTTTGGAACATTTTTAAGAAATACTTCCTCAAACCATTTGAAATAAAAGTCACTCTTCCTTGTCAAATCATGTACATCATGTACAAAATGCACAGCACCAAATGGCCCAACTAAACCAGTAGCTGGAATCTTGTAGTTGTCATCAGTGTGGTAAACAAACATTGGTGGAATACTGTTACCTGCGGCACTTGCGCAGACAATGGCAGAAACTAACTTATTTTCAGGATCATGCTCGGGTCTTCTACATGCAAAGGTATCTTCACCATGGCTGACCCAGTGTGTAACTGTATCAAGATCATACTTGAACTCTTGGACTGTGAATGTTCTGCAGTCACTACAGTTGACAAGAGCCTTGTGATTCTTGCTACTATTCTTGATAGCAGAAAGTTTGTCATAAAATAGACTCAGCTTTGCTTCTGTTAACTTGATTCTTTGATGTGGTTGCATCATGTCAACATTTTTGAATTGACTTCCTCTTCTAGAACAAAAGGCATTCCACCAATCATCAGATGGTAAGCCTTGCTTCTTAATGTCCCAGATGAATCTCTTTTCAGCTGCCTCAGCAGTGAGTAATAAACCAACTTGTTTTATATTTACAATCCCAATCATTGCACAGTCATTCACATACTTGACAATTTGATCCTCATCTTCTGGATTGATATGAGGCTTTGGACCTGCATTCCTAGTGTTTATTCTATCTCGTTTATACTTTCTTGATGTCAGACTTGCTGTAGGTAAGTTGAACCTTTTTGCAGCTGAACAAAAAGACATTCCCTGTTCAACAGCTTCTAATGCTTTCTCCATGGTTTCTTCAGACCAAGCCTTTGTCTTATGTCTACCACCCTTAGTTTTGGCTGCATCATCTTTGTCTTCTGCTGGAGTATTTACATTGACAGCTTCTTCTACACTTTTGTTTTCTCTTGTTGTATCCAACACCTTTTTATCACCAGAGGGTTGCATTGCTGGATCTTTTTGAGCTGTGTCTTGCACTGGTGATGTTTTCTGTCTTCTTGGTGATTGTCGAACCCCCACCAACTGTGCCCCTGAAACATTTGCTTGAAGATCACTTTTGGACAAAGAATAGCTTTTCTCAAAAGCAGCAACAGATAATCTTCTTCCAAGGGTTGACCGTGGGATTCCAAACTTGTTAGCAGCCTCTCTTATTTTGGAGCCATTTTGGACTGCATGAATAGCTTTCTTCATCATCTCTTCTGACCATAGTTTGAAACATTTTTTCCCTTCATATTTCATCCCTTCTTCTTTGCTAACCTTTTGTTCATTCCTACTTTTCAAATCCTTATGACAGACAAACTGATTTGTCTTGCTATTTTTCTGTTTCAAATCAGAAGTATTTGTTTCTTTGGCACATTTATTTACTTGTTGATGAATGGATTTCTTGGTCCTTTCCGCTACTTTTTCCAGCGGTATAGCAACTTTTTTCTCAAAGGTATGTGAATTTGACCTTAAACTTCTTGTATGCTGTACAGGTATATCAAAACTTGATGACTCGATTTTACTCTCTTCACAAGACACCACAGAAGATTTATTGGTTCCTGCACTTTTCTGTCCTGCATCTAAGCTGATTTGGTCCTTCAACTGTTTTCCTTGAGGTGGGGGACTTTCTCTCTTTGCCTTTTTTGCCTCCACATATTCCTTTGTCATGTCAGGGATCTTTTCCTTCAGCTTATTTGTTGATGAGTCTGCATTATGTGACAGTGGTGTTCTGCCATTCAATTTGTACTTCAGTGTAGTACGTGGTACTGCAAACTCCTTGGCTGCTCTCCTTACACGCATGCCATTGCGGACGGCTGTCATTGCCCTCTGCATACTTGTCTCAGTCCATTGTTTATTCTTCCTTGGTTTCTTTCCATCTTCAGTTTCAGGATCCAATCTGTCAGTGTTCTTTCTCTTTCTGCTTCTAGATGATTCAACCTCATGAACAAGCTTTCCTGATGTTGCAATAGCACCCCTTCCGGGTAACAGAACCCTTGACCTATCAGCAATATCATCAAGTCCTGTTCTATAATCAACAGTATGCTTTTGGAGAAGTGATTTATGAACCATTGGTAAAATATTATTTCTCGTTCTAAATTCAAATTTATTAACGTTATGGTCAACTGTTAAAGATGTTTTGCTGAGCATCTGTCCACTGTGTCCAATGTTTTTATCAGGAATGGTAGTAGTATATTGAATTTCTCCATTTTCAGGGCAAACAACAGTAACTGAGTGCTCTAGGCGTACAATAGCTTGATTTTCAATCTTGGAAAACGATGCATCTTCACTGCCAGTGTGGACAGAACAAGAGGCTTGCCCAAAATTACTAAATGGACAAAGATTCACTTCCATAATTGTGTCTTCCATGGTGAAAACGAAGCGTTAAATCCTGAGAATATAAAGAAAACTGGTTTGAACTAACTGGTTTAAAAAAAGAATAAGAGATAAAGGTTTCTTTCGTTTAAACGTGGAAAACGCTCGACTAAATAGTTAAACAATGACGAAAAGTCGGCCATCTTGGATAAACATGGCCAATTTTGAATAGAAAAAGTAATCAATTATTTTTCAGCCTCCAGCCGTCTTGTTCGTCCTTACTCTCTATACTTTGAATAAATAATAAATACCTTAGAATTTTTCTTTCATAATACGTACATAAAGCTCAAATAAGGATCCAAGGACGCCCACATTTGACTTCTTTGAGAGATTTGAGTTTACAAAACAATAATCCGATTGCTTTCCGAAGGGAGACCGAAGATATTCCGAAAGTTAATGAGGCTAAAGAAGGAGAGGGGAGGAGAGGGAAGGAGAAAAATGGCTGAAAAAAGAGAATAATAAAATGGAGAACTAAAAATAAGAAATTTACTGAGCTATTTAGTGAAAAATTATTATATTTACAAAAGAAAAACTAAGTTATTTCCAATTGTAGACAGTGGAGAAACGAGATATTTGAAGAAAAAAATATAAAAATGCTGAATTATGAGCCAAATATTAAAGATGACCCTGAAACCAAAAAGCCTAATTGAAGCAAATGCATTTTCAAGGTTTTTTTCTTCTTATATTTCCTTTAGAGCGTTTACTCAAGCTTGCTTTTTTTTTTTGTCTTTTCCGCTCTATTACAATTTCCCATCCTTTTTCGCTAGTTGGCAATGACCCAAGGTTCATTTACAGGCTCATGTACGTGCGTTTTTAAATGAATATTTACACAATATTAAATTACACATCAGACCATCACTCGAATGATGCGTCACAGATCTTTCCATATTTTTGGGGAGTTTTTGCTTCATTTCACTCGATTTCTTCTTATAAAATTAGAAATAGCTGCGTACTTCTCATATTGAATTTTTATCACGAGGCTATCATGAATATCCCGTGTGGTGGTGAATGTAGGAAAACTGAAATACTTAATGAATATTTAAAAATAAAGGAAATATATAACACGTAAAATATATCCCAAATATATTATGACTTGAATGATACAGTAGTCGGCGTCATGACCTGATCTGTCCAAAATTAAGGAAAAATACTTGATTTTGATTGGTTAACAATTTAACCACTTGACGTTGATTGGCTGTCTATTTTAAGTACATAAATCTGATTGGTTAATGGTAATTTGCCTTGGAGTCACGAGATTTGTCACGAGATCTAGCGAAATACGAATATACTGTCAAAAGATTTAATTTTTTCACTTATTTTAAGAATTCCAGCAAAATATATACACTATTCTCCGAGGTTGATGCATTGTTATTAAATCCAGAGTATTTAGGAATGTATAAGTTGAAGTGCAAGTGTTTGAATATTACGATTCACGCTCAAAAAGGTGGAGAAAGAAAAGCAGAAGGAAAAGAACTGGTGTCAGAGTCTTGTACTGCGTCTTTCTTCTCTGGAAACATTTTGGAGATCAAGCTTGCTGTTGGAGGCATTAAAAAGGTTAGAAAATAAATAAATAGATACTAAATAAAGTAATCATAGTCCTAAGGTTGTTGGAATCATGTTTCTAGAGGTTTTGAAGCCTTCTTAAATCTATTTTTATGGATATGAATATCTAATGAATGCCCTTGGAGATGACAATAAATACGTGCAATTTTAAGCACTTTGATAGAATCGCACCACAAGCAAATTTCTTCAGACTCTGCTGGCTTTGTTGATGTTAAAATGGTACATTTATTGACTACATTATTTGGTGATTGCAAAAATATCAGCCCTCAAGTACAGTCAAGTGATACAAACGATAATTTTTGTAGGTAATGAATTCCCGCGCATCCAATGGGTGATGCAACAATAGATTTTTGAGATTTTTTTTGTTACTATGTTTTATAAGATCGTCAACTTTTAGTATCATTTTCTTAATATTTCTGGGTGATCCTACTGCAGTTTAAGCATGCAGCGTAATTGCATAATATGGAAGCTTCTTATGTTTAGTCAATTTCTCCAAACTTATTTGCATTATATATATACATTACAACCATACATATTATACATTGTACATATTAGGAATACGTTTATAACTGTCATGTGTGTCATGTGATGTTATATATCGTTTTTAATTGTCAAGTTAATCTCATGATTATTAATGTTACAGTTTCTCATCGCACTCAAAGGCCCCTTCATTTTTTGTAACCTTTTTCCCCCTTGTGTAATAATATATCTTATATATATCATCACTGCTGATCAACCTAACTAATATATTATATAACCTAATATACTTTTAACCATCATCAGTTTTGGAAGATTCTAAGGTTTCACTTACGACAAGAAACTCGCAAAAGCTGCAGATACCTCTTTGCAGAACGACTACTGGACAAAGATCATTTTACTATAGAACTGTCAAATTGTGGAATTCACTAGACTCTGCCCTTAAGTTGAGCTCAACCGTGAAAGACTTTAAACGGACATTAAAACAACATCTTATTTCAGATTTTCTAAAACCTTAATGTAATTTAAATGTACGATTTATTTATCTATTTATTTATTTACTTTATTCTTTGATCTTTTCTTTTTGCTTCTTATATAATTATATATAGTATTATTTTAATTGTAATTAATTAGGCCCTTTATTCTGAAAAGCCTTATAGAGGACGAATAAAGTATGTATGTATGTATGTATGTATATCTTTTTATAGGAGGTAGATACCCTGGTTCGCAGGTCCACGGCAGAGGATTGGGATATTTATAGATGTATCAATTGTGAAACAGATGTGTATGCAATACATGCTGTGAAGGGTTTCGACAGGGTTCTGGTCAGCCCACAGCTAGAGGTATGTAAAATTTCTAAAATATATCCTTCGAAATGACAATATTCCCTTCCTGATAAAATACAATTAGAACAACTCATTTGAAGCACTCCCAAATCCCTTCATTTCATTTCCCCCTCTTTAATATGACACAGAAGAGGAGAAGAAAAAATTCCCCAAATATAAATTTAAAAATGCAATAAACCTATATTTTTTGGAGTGATAAAATGTCTACATTTTTGATGCCACTTCTCTATGAACCCTCTGTGTAGCACATTTTTATCTGTAAATTATTTAAGTATTTAAACAAAATTACTGTGCGTAGGATTCAACAAAAATATATGCATAATAGTTACTGTGAGATTTAGGTGTCCTTTATAAATTGCTGTTGTGAAAAACAGGGATTTATGGAGAAAAGCTGCTTTTTTAACCAGATAATATCACATAAGTCTATAGAACAGATGACCATTTCTTTTATTCCTTGACCTTGGACGTGATAAATGACCATTTCCTTGATTTTATCTCAAAGACACTGATAATGACTGTCATCCTATGCCAGCATTGTTAAAAACAATACAATATAAATCACTTAGGTAGCTAGACCATACCCTATATATTATACACAGAAGCAACGCTGCAAATGATTTATTTAGGGAAGGACTATTAGATAGTTGATGGGGGGGGGGGGGTGCGTAAATCCAAAAAAAATATCGAGCAAGCACTTAAGCCTCAAAAAAAATATCGTGCAACCTCTTCTGCTAGAAGAAAAATATCTAACTGTACGCAAAAAAAWA